CGAAAGCTTATGCTCTAATAAATTTGTTAGTCTCTAAGGTGCCACTAGTACTCCTGTTCTTCTTTTTGCGGATACAGACTAACACGGCTGCTACTCTGAAACCTTTCTTTTCCCACTTTGCTACCTTTCTGTTCGACTTGGAATCTGCGACTGGAACTTTTTAAAAATTAAGACTAGTTGAACTGCATTGTAATTTTTTTATATGAACGGGTAATATGGAGTGGGATTTTTAAGTTTACAAAATTTGCTGGCTTCATTTCCTATAAAAAAACTTCTGTTAAAATAACACTATTTAAAAGAAACCCATTTTATGTTGCGTTCAGGTATTTTCTGAGCATAGTTTTCTGTGGATTTCCATGAATCTCAGTTACATTCTAGCTTGTGTCCTGAAGGGGAAACTATATTTAAATGTTATAAATTTAAACGTAGTTTCCTCTACAGGAATATCTGTCTCGATATTATACGGCTATGTAGGTTTTATGAATACACACAGCCAATATTCATATAAATCATATTGCAATAATCTTCCTTGCAATTAGAAAGCATATGCTTTTTAAAATACGGTTCTGTACCTTGGAATCAATGATGCTATGCTTATTCTGAGAAACTCCAACAAACTTTGCCTCACATGTCCATTCGATTTCAAAATACTGACGTCACGTCATTTTGTAATCTTCTGTCCTGCAATAAAAGAATAAAAGCATGATCTGTGTATAGTGACGTTTTTCAGAATAAATACATCACTGATTCCACGCGTTAGATGCATTCAGCGCTAGCCCACCAGAAAAAGTTGTACCTTTGATGCTTTTAGTAAAGAAGACTTTATCCTTACAGACTCAGAATCTGGGGCAGGGAATTACTGGACAGGTTGGTATTTTGCCCACACAAGGATAGTTGATGTAATAAATCTAAGAAATGTAGGCATTAAAAATACATGTCAGGACACCTCTATTTTTGTATATACTTCCCTTTTAGATTAACCAGTTTATTTCTCAGGGTCTTTGCAGAAGATAATGTCTGGTCACCTATTTCCAAAGCTTGCCGCGCCTTCACTTTCATTCTAGGATGTCATCCTGATTGTCAAACTTTAACATTGGTATGGGCTCTTCTTGGGAGAACTGATCGGAAGAAAGAGAAAAGGTGCAAGTTGTCTGTACACATTACCTCAGCGTCCCAGTCACTCCGGACCTAATTCTCTCGCTTTAAATGATATTTCAAGCACTTCGGCTATTGTGGAAAACACTAAAAACAAACAAACAAAAAAACCCCCCCTTGTATTACTGTCCCAGTCCGGCGTCATCTCTCTCTAGTACAAAACTAAAGCGCACAGCGCCCTCTGTTGGAATTCCCCATATTTCGGTAGCAACTCCCGTATGAGAAACAGAACTGAAGCAAATCAATAGCTATTTTACAAGGCTCTAAGGGGGAAAATATCCTTCTCCAAGATCCATCTTAATTCTATATTTGTAAAACCAGCACAAGTTTTGTGTACAGGGAACAGGAGAATTGCATCAGCATACGACTAGCTCATTGAAACTGAGAGTTTAGAAAAGACCTCAGCTAGAACAGCACTGTACTCGGGGAACATTGATTTTTAACGTCGTGAATTCGATCAGAAGGAAGAAAGTGCAGAGATCCAGACAGTTACGGTCCCGCCTTCAGTCGCATTGAATTGGCCCCTTTTTATAAAATATGTCTGGTTGAACGGGGCGAGCTGTGTTCAGAGGCATTGCAATTTCTGGGCTTTGTTCCTAACAGGAGTCGTCTTGTAAACGTTATTTCATGCTGTCAGAATAGGCCTCACGGACGGAGTGCCAAGCCTGCAACGACACAGCAGAATGAGAATTAGGAATAGGATGTGCCGTGAGCTAAAACGGGCCTTTAATCTGAAGATGTGACGGTTTTGCATCAAGTAGTGCGCGTATTTTCGCACGAGTCCTTTGAAAAGCCTTAACAATACGCGGTCATCAGTGATTTCTAACTGAGAACAGGGAGTGAGGGAGAGACAGAAAATACAGGCTGTATTGCAGGGGGAAAATAGTTTCTAGTTCTTTCATGCCAATATTGTGTGAAAGCAGATTAAAAAGGACTAAATAGGGAATATCCATACACACAGAAGTGGTAGGTTGAAGGGAAGAATATGCAGGGAGAACCGCATGTATATAGAACAGGCAGGTTGAAGGGGGAATATGTAGAGGGATATATATATATGCAAAGTATAGGCATAAACTGTGAATGGGAAATACAATGTAGACAAAACATGTTGTACAGTCAGAATGTGGAACAAGATTAATAAGGGAAAACACATATTTCATTTTGAAAAGAACTAACTCAAATTCTCTGTCAGCTTTGTTTATCATACAGGAGATGTCAATCTTATGTAGGGCCGACTACCTACTACACTTAAAGGCCAGGCTGTCTCTACGCTCACGGGCAGGCAGCATGCACTGGGTTTTTCTTTGTCTGTCTTTTCCCAGCATGGGTATCAGAACACAGCAACTGTCTAGTTTGTAGGCTGCCAAGCAGCCCCCTCAGTGAACCACAGTCTTGTCTCAGAGCACCTAGATGCCATGGTGATGGGT